ACCCAACACAGCCTATTGTCATTAGGGGTCTCCTGTACCCACTTCTGCCACCCCTTAATATGAGCTGGGGAGGAAAAAGGACTTCTTTTTCCTCCAAGAGAGTAGTCTGAAAATATGCTTCTGCAACTTAACTCCACAGGTAAAACGGGGTATGTTGCATATCACTACTTAACTTGCTTAAAACCCCAAGACACTGGTTTTAAACTGCCTCTCCTGAGTATGTCTGAACCTAAGCTGCCCTCCAGGAATAGGAACTTGATTGCTTTGTCATGGTGGAAAAAATCCCATTGAGTCAAGCAAGCTACAAATACAATCACCAAGTCAATAAAATAAAAAACCAGGACCTTATTCCCTTCAAGCATTTGGTATAGCATTGTGTTTACAGCAATCATAACACCAGTCCTCCTAAACAGGACACATTGATAGGCATGCATAAAAGTTTTTCTCTTGTAGAGAGAAGACCTAAAGGTCTTAAGGACATAAGAACACTGCAAATGAACATGAAGGATGTCACATCAGCCAGTAGTGTCATAATACTGAACAAAAGTTTACACTTCCATACCTCGTAGCAAAACCAGAACAAACTCTGAAGCATTTCAGGTCTCAGTCCAGTTTGCCTGAACATTTGGTTTTATTTACAGATTCTCTAGCAAGGGCAGCTTAATATCTCCATAGGCAGGCAGCAAAAACAAAAGCAAACAAAAGCAAGCAGTCACCACATAGTACACACTTAGTATCTCTGTTTCAATTAAAATGCTTTTCCAACAGGCAGGATGAATCCTTCCCCCAGGCAGATTCTCAACTATTTCCCAAGCCTGTCTGATGCTAAATTGAGGTAGATGATTTACTTCTGCAAAGTGAGGTAGAACTTCAAGCAAAAGATAGTGGCATCTCTAGTTGTGCATTTTGTACCACAGCAAACTGGGTTTCAAACTCCCAAGGACTCAAAGACCAAAGGTACAATTTTTGTCTAACTCAAGTACCAGTGTTCCTTTTTTATACAGTTCCAAACTGTTTGTCTAAATAGCTCTACTTTTAAATACCCTATTACCTTTTGGCACCATTTGGCTTACACTCCTTTAAAAAATAAACAAAACTTTGGCACAATATTTTTTTAAACTAGAACTGAACAAAGAAATCTTATGATCAAAGTTATGGCAAGGTGAGTCTATAAACCTGCTCTCTTCAGAAATCAATTTTGGTTTGACTAACATAACGCACTGGGCCCACTTTCCTTCAATTCCAAGGGAATGCCACATCCAAGTGACTTGTTCTTTCTCTCAGGTTGGTTAAGTCTGGCCCTAATATGCATTAGTTTTCAGGTGTTATCTTCCTTTCCTTGCTTTGTTTGAAAGTTTCAGGTTTATGGCCCTCCTTAAATCAGTTATATTTAAAACGTACTGAATCAAAAGGAGCAAGTTATGTCAAGGACCTGCATTATCAAGTACTGAATCTGCTTCAGCTTGCTACTAAAGTTCCTGCTTAAATAATTCTGAGAAAGGACAAGATTGCTTTATATGCTGAGCACCCAAACCAGCCACACTGATTGCTGATAACATTTTGTCAAGCAAAAGGTTTACAGAGAGCCACTGGTTTAACCTGGCATAGAGAAAATCCTTTGGGAGTTCGAGTAGACAGCTCTGTCCCCCACATTTGCTGTTGCCCAACCAAGAGGTACACACTCACTTTACCCTTCTCCAGGCTATTTCCCCTAGTTAAGAAGGTTACTCTGAATGCTTGTTTGGTTTGCAACCCAGCTTCCAAGCCTTGCTTTTCCTCTCTGCATGCACGTACATTATGATACTGGGGCATGAACCTGAGAACATGCATGGAAAAGCAGAGCAAGGTTGGAATCTCGTTTATTACTTTTTAATAAGCCTCTATGGGACATCTGATGTTGGCATTGTATATTAGCACTACTTTTTTTCATTGCATATAAAACACTCCATTTTATAAGCTACACTACCACTTTTCAATGAGACCAAGTGTGCTTAGCACTATCTATCACAAAGATAAGGAATTCTCTTGGGGAGCTAAATAGTAGTGTTTTTAAAACGAAAAAGCTCCCCAACAACACAAGGTCAAACACTCAAGGTTCGGTTTGCAAGCAAATCCCACTGAGTTAAATAGATAGAAACTTAGAAAGAGTTTAAGTCATTCCTCTTCCTGACTGAGCTGGGCTGGGGGGTTGTGCAATGGCTCCATTCAAAAAGCAAAGGGCAACTTCAGTGTCTGTCACCTTCCACACGGTGCAGGCTGGGGGGGCAAAACGTTCTCCAGTTCAACACAATCCTGACTGCACACTTAACCTTTTTTTTTTAATGCCTGGAAAAACAACTCCCTTCTAGCCACAGAGAAGGGCAAACCCCACAAGCATTTAAGCACAAGAGCGTTTCTAGGACACTTCAACACTGTCAGCCACTCTGGTCAAAGTATTTAGAGACCTGGCGTTTTCATTAAGACATGATAGGAGAAATGCAAGGACACTGCAGACTAAACATTAAAGCTTTTTAAACCACTATTCTTTGGTATCTAGATCTTGCAGGCTATTAGTTTTTTCACAGCCCAAGTTGCAAATAATTCTTAGGCTGAATAATACAAGACAACCACAGACATCTGTCACAACTGTAGGCCACCCCCAAGAAGGGAGGCGTGCACACAGGCAGAACTTGCAAAACTTGAAGGTAAACTAGCCCTCTCTGATACATGTTTTGTGTGGCCACAGAAATTTATTGACAGACATCTGTATAAAAGATTATCCTTTCATACTGTTTTTAAACCATGCCATCCTAAGATTAAGCCTAACTGAAACACACTGCTTTGAAGAGTTTGCTTCCTTGAGGCTTTGGCTGAAAGGCAGCACAGTTGTTTTATCCCATTTAATTTAGGTGGTTTTCCTCACCCTTCTTTTGAAAGAGGTTTTGCCATCTCATGAATCTTGTCTCTTTCTGGTCCTTTAGTTTAAGCCTCCTCTAAAGTGGCAGCGCTCTCTGTCTGCACACATCATTGGTATTTCTACAAAACTCAGAAAGTTAACACTCCTTGGAGGGGAAAAGCAGCAAGAAGGAAAGTGCACCTTGTGATTTCTCACAAACTTGTAAAGAGCCTTTCAACCTCAGGTCACTTTTGTGCATGGTGGCTGGCAGAGAGGAACCCTTTCCTTGCGGGATGGTTAAGGCTCTTCAGACTTTTTGACAATGACCACATTTACATTTCAAAGATCTTCTTTTGCAAACAGTAAGGTAAATCCCATGGCATTTCCAAACTCAAGAGTGCTGACACGAGAGTTTTTCCATTGCAGAGAGCAAGAAGAGCCCTCTCTTGCCCACTTTAAACAATTTTTGTTTGCCAACACCAGAGGGTGAAGCTACAGGTCTGTACAGACCATATCTGCTTGAACAGCTAAACTGGAATGCAGGAAATTGAAGAATAAAACCAAATCCTTCCAGGGACTCAAAGTCACATTTTGCTAAAGAGATCTCTATTCTCCCCAAAAGTTTCTGCCTCTCAGAACACCAGTTTCTAATATCCCCGAAAGGGCAAACTTCTCCCTGCCTCCAAGCTTTTAAGGGTCATATACATTAATTTTACACAGAAGTCTTTGGTACTGCCCTGGGAAAAAAAGCAGCAAAGTTTTGCCTTGATGAAGTTTGCCTTTAGCTGGTACTGGTAACTCTTCACTTGGATCTGTAGCCAGAGATCCTGCAGCAGGGAGCTCCAGGCCCACCCCACCCACCCTAAAAGCTACAGTAGCTATTTCCAAAATTTACAGTCCAGCTCTCTGGGGAAGCCAGAAGACAAAAAATAAAAAAAAAAAAATTAATCAGTGATAGAGTTATTGCAATCCTCTCTGAACAAAAAACCCCAAAACAAAACAACTGTTGACTTCTCCAAATCACACCCTGAATCTCCAAAGCTGTGCTTATTTCTTACTTTTGGAAAAAGGTACCACTTCTAAGAAATTCAAACTTTATTCCCTTAAGGTTTCTCTATGGGAAGGGGCAAAAAATGCTAAGTCATTTCACAAGAAAGTAAATCAAAAGGGTTTGATTTTCCCTGTTTCAATGCTCCTCCTAACCTCTTCTGTTACCTAGATTAGGGGCACTGATAAAAAGAAACAGCAACTTTTTTCAAACTAATTTAGCTTTCAGGTGAAAAGAGGTAAAAATGAAATTCTCAATGACAGGATACACTAAAGGAAGCCTTGCTTTTTATCTAAACTTTACAATGACTGCACTAAGCCACTAAAATGAACAATTTGGTTTAAACTTAAAGAATTTTTGTGCATTTTCATCAGCTTCACTTTGTGCTGTTAAATTACTGTGTTTCAGTAAAAAAATACACAGAAATGCCAAAAAAGATGCAAACTTGCTCTTCCTGGCGAGTGAATCTCACTCACTTTCATAAAACGTTCAAAGTTGTCTGGGAACAAGATGCTGTGCTCTCCAGTAAATCAAACACACTGAGGTATAAAAAGGAGAACAGGAAAAAGTTCTCTGCTGCAGCAGCAATGAAAAAAAAAACAAAACAAAACCAAAACCAACAACAACAACAAATGTCCCTCCCTCCCATGTCCCCACCCACAGAACTGCAGAATGGTCAAGAACACAAATTTCTCTACAAACACCTACTACCATTTTCTCCATTTAAAAAGTTACATAGCGCCTTTCTTGGCTTAGTCTAACAGAACTCACCACACAAACCACCTAATGTGCACAGCAATTCTTGTTTGTGCATGAAACCCCATCGGGGGGGAAAGAGGTAAAACGTTCTGAACTATGAGTATGTGGGGATGGGGAGGGGGGCGAGAAATCGGGGAGGGAAGGGAGGACAATGAGGTAGATAGAATTCAATTTTACAGGCTCACTCCCTGCAGAAAAGGTAAGTACATTCATCTGTAAAAAAATTAAAGATGAGGTAGGTTTGAATTAACGTTGTATTTTTTCATTTTCTCTTAGAAGAATTTCCCTGAGACAGTTTCTTCCTAATTCAAACACAGATTAGAAGACGAGAATTCGATTGTTTCCAAAGTCGACCACAACAATCATGCCATCAGGGGTGACAGCTATACCTGAAGGACGGTCCATCTGACCAAAGCCGCTTCCCTGAGTGCCAAACTTGCATAAAAAGCTACCATTGGACTCGAATATCTGCACCCGGTGGTTCCTGGAGTCGGCCACGATGATGCGCCCTTCCTGATCCACCGCCACTCCCTGCGGGCGCAGGAACTGCCCGTTGCCGGTGCCCTCGGAGCCCAGGAAGCGCGCCGACTGGCAGTCCGGGTGGATGACCAAGAGGCGATGGTTGTTGAAGTCTGTCACTACCAAGTGGCCCTCGTGATTGAACGTCACGCCTCTGGGGGAATCAAAGTGCTTCCAGAGTACCCCTTCGAAGCCGTACTTGTTCAGGAACACGCCGTCGGGCCCGAACAGCTGAACGCGATGGTTCCTCGTGTCGGAGACCAGGATCTTGCCCTCCGCGTTGACAGCCACATCCCACGGGTAATTGAACTGCCCGTTCTTCGTTCCTTTCTCCCCAAACTTCAGAATGAACTGCCCCTCGAACGTGAAGATCTGGATGCGATGATTGTCCTTGTCGGCCACGACGATCCTGCGCGAAACGTCGCAGGCCACGCCGGCGGGGCGATCGAACTGGCCCGGCCGGGAGCCCAGCGTGCCAAACTTGTGGTGGAAGGTCCCGCACGGCTTGAACACCTGGATGCGGTTGTTGCTGCGGTCGGCGACGATGATGAAGCCTTCCTTGTCGACGCTGACCCCCCAGGGGCGGCAGAGCTTGCCGTCGCTGTCTCCCTCGCTGCCAAAGGACAGCCCCGGCAGCCCGATGCCGATGTAGCTGCGCCCAGACTTCACCATCACTTTGAAGGGGCTGTTCTCGATGTGTTGGTTGCACATCATCACGGACACCAGGTGCTCTCCCTCCAGCTGGGGACGGTAGCTGACCAGGTAGGTCCCGTTCTGCTGATCGCTGACGTCTGCCCCGAAAAGGTTTCCATCAGGGCCCATGACCACGGCAGAGATCATGTCACCCCCTGAGAGACGAGGCTCCCCGTCGTGGTCGTAGCCGATCACGGTGAACGAGGCCACCTTGCCCTGCAGAGCGCGCTTGAGACCTTCCCCCGTGGCTTTGGTCAGGGGAGCAAAAGCCCCGCTGCTGACAAAGCCCATGGATTTGATGGCCATATACAATGCCTGGTCAGGGGGGGTGAACATGATCCTGTCGTCTTCCTGTGGCTGGAGAAGGCCTCTGACGTTCTTCAGCTCCTGCACCTGAGCCAGCATGCGGTCCCGAGCCAGAAGAATGTCCATGGTGCGACCCTCCTCCAGGACCTGCTGAACAGCACTAATGGTGTTATCCAGCTTGTTCAGGTTCTGACGTAACTTTTCAACTTGCAAGTAGAGGGACTTGGCCTTGACTTGGCGAATCTTTTCCACCTTGTGGGAAACGGGGGAGAGAAAAGCACGCTTACATCAGCAAAGACAGACCACAGATTTCCTTCAGTCTCCCTTCTACATAAAAGCCAGCTGGGCAGTTGCTATAGCATGCTGACATACAGCTCCAGAACAAACCTCTAAAAATCACAATGCAGACAAGAAACAAGGAAAACAAATTACTTATCCAAATTTAGGATTATTAGTCTCTCCTACCCTCCAGGCGACAACATACATTCCTACTCTGCAGATCTGCTGCATCAGAGTGACATTTGAGAGCGAAAATCACTTGCTTACTAGTAATTATTTGCTTCCTCAAATGCTATTCTGTTTTCTAGTTTCAAGGTACTTGACAGATCATCCAAAGGCACATCTCATTCAGCCCCCAGGGAGGACAGAAGTTATTGCAGCCTCTCCAGAAGAGCAGAGGCCGAGGCTTCACTAACCAGAACTGAGACCAATTTCAGTGGTGACCTCCACTGAGATGGGAGTCAGCACCAGCTAATGCACATGGGCTCCTGTCATTCCCCTGCCTGCCAGAACTGGTTTTTGTGACTGGATAATACCAGACATCTATCTCCAGGAATTTTTAGAGTCCAATTATTTTAATATTTTCTTGTAAATACCAGCAGTCCTGCTGAGCTTGTGCTTTTAAACAGGATGTTTTGTGAATGTCATTTCAAGTAACACAGAAGGTTGCTGCCAGTCCCTGCTTGAGGGACTGAAGTTGGTGCAAAAATGCCTGTTTTGTAAATCATCTATATAAGCCTGTGTCTACCCTTACTTGTGAAAAACCACTTTGGACCATCTGGCAAAGACACCTGCTGCATAAAACTAATGTAATGTGTCTTTGTTTTATTGTTGCAAAAGTACATTTCTTGATGTCTGAATACTTGCTTGGCCTCAGAACAGTATCTGGAATGCATTTTAGTGAAGGAAGACTCAATGTCTGAAGACTCCTTGATTAGACATTGACTCAATAACATATGTACAAACATGCTGTAAATTGAGGTATGTAGGTTTTACCAAGCTGTAAAAAATTTGGTGATACTTCTCACAATAGTTGTCCATTGTACACATTGTAAAGAAGTATCACCAGAAGAAGACACATTACTGATCTTAGGTCTTAGCTAAATCCATAGACTCAGCCCTGTTATGCAAAATTGTTTATTAGCATGCTTGATAGACTGAGTTTGTTTTCCTAAAATCATTTACCACCACCATATTTCCTTCTTAAAATAATGTTTTTCAGCTTGAAGAGAACTTGCTGTCAGTGCAGATATTCTAACAAAGTGCATTTGTACAGCACTGTAGGATAAAAAGAACTTAGGCACAGATCTTACTCCTCCTGTACTATGAATACCTTAAAAAAGAAAGCTGCCAAGCTTCCTGCAAGAGGTTAAGAGTAAAAATCCAAATCCAAACTCTCAAGGAGCATTCAAAGAACACTAACTATATAAAGTGCAATTTTAATCTTGCTATTGACACTTACAAAAGAAAACAAAGCTTCTCTTGCAGGGGACCATGACCACTGAATTACTTTTCTGGAACAAGAAACTTGCCTATTACTTCCTTTCCTCCTCTCAAAATACCACACAAGCATTGTTGAGCTGAAATGAGCCCACCAGTTGAGAATTGTGCAGATACTCTTTTCTTATACTAGTTCAAAAAATTGCTTAGAGGGAGGACGCTACCTTGATTGCCAGTAAAGGTTTTTAAGCATGGGGACAGTGAAAGTTGGTCTCACAGAATTTCTACCAGCCTTTCTAAAAAACAAAAAAGGACAGGATAGCATATACAGCTTTGCTCCTGTCCTTTACGAGGAGTGGATTGGAAAATCAATTATATTATGTACCTAATCCTAGAGCATGTGTTTTGAAGACATTGTTCAGAGGGGACCTCCTCTCGGGGCAGCTGCGGGGCCAGCAGGGGGAGTGCCCAGCCCGCGTGTGGGGCTGTGCTGCTCCCAGGATCCGGCAGCAAAAACCCCACCAGAAGCTCCAGGTAAGGAAACCTGCAGCTTTCCTCGGATATCAGAATCTGGCTGTGCAGTAGTTTGAGTAATTTTTCAGTTTGAAAAGCACTTGTCAGCAGTACAAACCACAAGTGTAAGGGTGAATACCTTCCAGAGCAGCTCACACTCGCGCTCTTCCAAGGCCTTCTTGTGTCTAGTGGTCACTACCTTGACTTCAGACTGTACCACCTTCGCTTTCATCTCAACTTGCTCTGCCACAGCCTGGGCCTGTTCAATACTCAGCTAGGGAGAAAAAAGACACACACACTTAGGGCTTGACCAAACCAATTAAAAATACACCAGAGGACTGCTGCTTATGTTTTACATTACATGCTACACCTTCAGGAAAGGCATAAAGTGACAACTCTTAGTTTCTTACTAGGCCTTCTTCAACCATTTCATACACTGCAGCCTAAAATCTGTAAGGATTCTTTAAATACATGTATTACATGGAGTTTACACCTTCATTGTGACTTGCACCCACACAACAGCACTAAATCCCTGTGCAATTGCAGCGAGCAGCTAATGTGGTGAGCAAGAGATCTGCACAGAAATTCATACTTGTGTTTTCTTCCATGTAGAGAACCCAGCTTTTCTCGCCCCTCCAAATGGTTCAGACTGTTGTTGTGTGATGGGTCTGTTTCTAGTAAAAAAAGACACTGTAGGGAAAAGACTGTTGTCTATGCATTTGAGCTGCACAGAAATACGCCTAAAAGAGTGTGGAGATAATCAATTTTAAAAGAAAAGAACAAATGGTTATCAGTAAAAAGTATTAATATAGTTATTCACACCTTGGGTAGAGGTGAGAATTATTTCTAATATTCAAATTATTTCTAATATAACCTTGCAATGTTAATATTTCAAAAATATTCTGTAGTAGTATTCTGCAGAATGGACCCAGAAGGAGCATGTCTCTCCCTGCCCTCCCCCCCCAAAATTAAAAATGGCTTCCTCAAAAAATCTGTCCTAAACTACTCCCAAATTTCACAAAATATTACAGAAAGAGGCATAAAAACAAAGACCAGGCAAATCTGAAGGATCACAGTTCCCAAAGGAACAGGTTCAATAGCAATGGCCAACAATTTTTTCAACACCTTTGTCATAGAGTGAACCAGCAGATGAACCTGTGACCCTCAAAGAGGTTAAAAAGATAGTAACTTATTAGTTCCAAAATTCTAGAACAAGATGTTGGCCTGTGAAGGTATTCAGACTAAAAAAGAGGGGAGTTCTTACAAGTATACATACACTTGAAGGGAGGGCACTGAAAGGGCAGAGCCAGGCTCTTTCCAGAGGTGCCCTGTGACAGAACCAGAGGCAATGGACACAAACTGAGACAGAGGTTCCCTCTGAACATTAGGAAATGCTTCTTTTTCCTCAGAAATGCAGGTTCATTGAAATCAGCTAAAAAGGAATCTGAAGGCTTTACCATACATTCAGAACCTTCAGGAAGATGCCCTCATTTTAACTGTACTTATGAGGATGCACCAATCTAAGAACCACCTGTTGCAACAATGAACTACCCAGTGCGATCCAGCATCATCTAGAACATCAGACAGTACACATTGTCATATCTCACTAAATGGTTGTTAGTATTTTTGAACTCTCCATTCAGCAGCATCTAGTTTATGCCAACAACTGGAATGCTAAAACATAAAAACTTAAATATAGTGTTACTTGGGACATTTTTCATTCCAGGTAAGTTATTTTAAGACAACTAGTCTGAACTAGACTTATTCTTCCAGGTCACATAGGAGATCCTTTTCTGAAAGAAAAAGAAGACTGAACTTGGCCAGGTGATTGCTCTCTGGAGACAAGCTGAAGACGACCCTGACAAAATCAGACAAGACAACATTTCTATCTTTACTCCAAAGAATTCTCCTGCAAACTGTCAGGGGAAAACGGGAGTGCTGCTTGACAGCCAGCCTGCAGCCCAGGGCTCCGTAAGAGGAACAGGTCTTTCAGCTCTTCCTCCTTCAGGAACTTCACTACAGTTTTAACAGGGAATGTCTTCAAACTCACACAGCCTATGTATCCCAGTCCCACTGGAGGCTGACCTGACCTGCCCTCTCACAAAGCTTCTGGCAGGCAAATTTGGAAAAAAAAAATAAAATCTCATTACAACAGTTAGCAAAGTAGACATGAAGTCACAACTGGCCATGGATTAAGACTTCATAAAAGCCAGTAGGCTCAGACCTAGCTAGAACAGGCCACACATAAGAATACTGTGCCTCTATCACCTCTTTGCCATTCAAATACAGAAGCTGCCCTACAGCAGGGAAAAAGCATGCATTTCTTACAAAACAGACCTGGATTCCCATCAAGTACAGCAAAACACCTTCCTTCTCTTGTGAGGAGAAAGAGGTATCACCTTGAGAAACTATCCACTCATTCCAATTCTAACAATGATGTCTGTGAAAGCATAAAAATTTTGATTTACTTATTTTTGCTTTTTGTACTCAGTACCCATTTAGAACTATGATCTATATATATGCATCCCTTATTATACCTTAGGCATAAGAGCGATCCCACCTTCCCTCATTAATCCCCACTAAAAGCAGAGTCCACCTTTCAAGAACTCCATCACAGCAGGAGCAGTAGCAATTCCCCATGGATGCTGGGATCTTTCAGCTATAGGAACCAGTTATGCACAACCAGTTGTCTACCAACTACTCGTGTCATCATCTGATTTATTTTTACTTGCCCAAGTATGAACAGCCCAGATCAGTGGGGGATGCCCAAAATGCTAAGATTCTAATTCATCCAGGATATTGGTGATGTTATGGTAAAACTCAGGGGCCTCTGCACTCTGCCCAAATAAGCTAGAACAGCCTAGGAAGGCTGACCAGCATCAGACATGCAGAGTATGATGGGGGGAACAGCAATAGCAAGTGATCTATATCTGAAGCAAAAGCCAAGAGCATTAAGTACAATTTTTGGGAGTCTTCTTCACATGGAAATTCCTTGTTCACTTTGATTACTGTAAGGTGTCAGAGTTCTGCTATGAAAACTCACTCCTACTGTTCTGAAGGCATTTTCTGTGCTGAACTTGTCTTGGAGAGGTCAGCTTTTTAGGAAGCATGTTAAGCAGCAGTGCTTCTTGTTCTGGTCAGACACCACACAATCTTTTTAACAACAAATCATTGTAAAGAATAATAGCTTTTATCATGCTCTCATCATGGTACGTAAATTTTTTCAGTGCTAGTGGATTAGATGGTCAATCAGTTCACACACTTGGGAGACAAAAGACAAGGCCTGCATTTACCCAAGAATTGTGCTGGGTTACTCAATGTGAGATGGAAAACAACTGTTTTGTTTCCTGCTGTTGGCCAATAAAGTAAATAATCTATTTCCAGCTGTACCTCTCCACCTGTGGCCTCTCAGGGCTCTAAAGATGGCCAACATCACTCCCCATTCTATTAGAGATGTCACCAGTGCCTCGTGTTTGTTAAAAACAAGTAAAAACAAGAACAACACTGCTTTGCAGTGTATCTTGTAAACTACTTTAGGGTTGAAACTGGTACTTCCAATTCCTCAAGAGTAAAACTGAAGTAGCAGCAGTTGTTGTGCAGGTGACATGTTCCAGGGGGCCACCACCCAAGGACACTGCACACAGAGCTTCCAGTGAGGCAGACAAACGTGTTTGCATGAAGGACAGCAATGCAGAGACACCCATCGCTAGCTACTGCTACCAGCACATTTCAGTTCTGAGTAAAAGCTGAAGGGCAAAGTTGCATCAGAACCTGGGGGTCCTTCACAAGCTCCCTTTAGGTGGAATACCTCTGTGAGCTCCTCTTTATCTACATTTCACCATCTGAGGGAAAAATTAGTGATGATCTTGCTCCAGTGGTTATGGCAACTGATGGTACAACATGAACCCATGAAGGAACCAACTGCAAGAGCCAGAAGTAGCAGGGTAGCATTACAGAACTTGGCCATGCTTCTGGATGTCTATGCTGACTACAGGTGCCCAAATCAAGACTTGCTGTTTTGTAGAATGGCAACATTAGTAATTTGTTATATTTCCCGTCTTCTGTTGAACAGTAGGAACTATAGCCTCAAGTTACAAAAAAATTTTACATTATTTCATTTTTACCTAAATATGCCTAAGGGATATTTAATGTTCTAGACTTTCAAGTTTCACTGAGTGGTTTCTGCTGTCTGATACTCAAATTAAATCAGTATGTCCACAGTTATTTGAAGAGGCTACCTCAGGTCTCTGAAACAGCAGGGTGATCCAGGTGCTGAGCCATGATGTTAGATCACACCAATTTAGTCCAGGAATTTGTCCAATTGGACAAATTGCAGCACCACACACCACAATGGCAGCACCATGAGATACATAAAGGCTGCTTATGGTAACTGTACTGCAACTCATCAGTGCTGGCTTGCATGAACATATTTGAAAAAGTCACTAGTATTTTTTTATTCCATCCATCCAAAGATGGGAGGGGGCTATAATTTTTCAGCCATTAATTCCAACACTTAAGTTTCCCAAACTCAAGTTTTCCAATGAAGGCGTAAACCTCTGGAGAGAAAATTCAAATTCAAAAGCATTTGAACATTTTGGTTCTACTGAGGAATTCTTCAGTATTTGAGGGGTGAATGGACCACAGGTATTGAATAAAGAATATTAAATATACACTTTCCTACCTCAAGTATGGAGGATTTGCAGTTTAACCATTAAGAAATTTAAGACTAAGTTAACCCTAATCAGAGGGGAATGAACAGCTGAGATGCTTCTTCTCTGACAAACTCCTTTCTGCATTTCATAAGCACATTAACTACAAAAAATCCTGAAGGAAACTTTTTGCTGTGTCTCAAGTTAGCCCTCTTCCATGAAATGGAAGGTGTTCCAGCCATAGGTGGTTTGTTTTCAGTTCCTTAAGGCACAAAAAGATACGGTGGGTTTGTTTCACTAAACTTTTCCAGTTACTTATCACTGAGCCATGCAAGACAAAGCAACCGGACAAAACAGTTGGCTTTCTCCAGCATCAAGAACTGGATACAAACCTCCTGATGTTCTTACCCTAGAAAAATTAACTGGAAGATCCTACACAATTGCAGTGAAAGGTACCAGGATTTGCAGTAATACTGGTGCAGCTATAGCACAAACCACAGTAGCTGGGCCAATTTAAAGGCTTCATTGCAATGTGTGCAAAACACTACAACATTCTCACTTGAAGTTCCTCACAAAGATAATTTTAAAATAAGCTTTGATGGAGGGACGGCTAGAGGCCAGGTTAATTCATGCCAGATACAACTAAACAATCATTTTGGTTTGTGCTGCAAGAACAGACTTTTTGCCTACAGTTTTAGGCAGAACAGTAGTTTGGACAGTGACACATGTCAAATCCATCTTCCCCAGTAACCATCTGCTCATATGCTGCACTGAGGAACTCACTGAAATACCACACAAAACAGAAACTAAAAGTACAAAGAAATTCAGCCTCTTTAATATAAATCCCAGCTTCAGAAAAGCACAATTGACTCAATTTTGTTGCCAAAGATTCATTTCAGATTCTCAAACCTGCAAGCCTGACTTCAAAGCCACGCACAAGGCTGCCTGAGCTAACTGAATGTGACAACCCCAAAAAGATCCCTTGCAGCACAGCAGTGCCATCCTTCTCAGGTATCGACCTCCCAGCAGCACACATCCATATGGCAACCCACAGGGAAGCTCCCACCCAAGGGCAGAGGCTCAAGGCAACGGATCAGCTTCCTCCTCTGGCCAGCTGAGTTTCTTACAGTACCCCCTCACCCCCTGTAAAGGCGTTAATCTATTTCATACCACTTCCCCCACAAATTTGGGAGGGAAGCTCCTAAGCCTTTCATGACAGATAAGAGAGCAGCTCCTGCTATGTTCTGCACTGGCCAGTCTCACCAGGCAGTGAGAAGCTTGCATGGTCAAGCACCCCTGCAAAAACAATTACAGGGCTCAGCTAAGAAAGAATTGATTTTGTTTTCCAATAAACCCACTTTTTTAAGACATCTGAGATGAACAGATTAAAATGTATTTTGACATGTTCACCTGGAAATTGACCCTAAATGAACATGAGCGCTCAGTGCTTTACTGTTATGCAAGTGCATTAGATTACATGCATACATCCATACATATATATACAGTTACACACGTATAGATGTATTTTAAGAAGGTGACATTTTGAAGAAGCCATCTATCTTTCACCATAACAGATTTACGTTCAGTTTGTGACCTAGTCCTTGGAAAAAATTCTGAAAGAAGACAGCTAAGTGTGCACTTTCGTGAGGTAAAACAAGGCAGCGGGACACGCTCCCCACATATAGAAAGGCAGCAGTCCTGATTCCTCCCACACCATTTATCCAGCGTCAACTTTGGCTTTCATATCACCCTGTGAATCAATCTGAGTCTCTGAAGAGGCTGGAAAAGTATCCCAGCTAGGAGTATAGCTTTCTGCCGAAATAAGAAAACAGTCCTACCAGCACCCCAGTTGGATGTTGCTGCTTCATTCCCTGGCACCATCAACAGTCCTTGCAGCACTGCAGTCAACCAGCCAGGGGGCTGACCCAGCCAAAAAGTAAACCCACAGAAAAGCTACCCTTTCAGCTGGATCAGTTCATCACACAGGCACAAGTTCTCAAGTTAGAGACAGGCTCAGGAATGCAGGCCAGGACCATCATAGCACAAGGAAGCATGGAAGGCTCTCCACTGCTGCAGAAATATCACTGAGGGGGAGAAAAAAAGCAAGCCTCTTGCTCTTTCTTACAGAGGACTTCAACTTCCTTGAAAAGTGAGGTTTGGACTCTTCTGGAGTGACAGGCTACATCAGGCTTCAGTGGATCAAGAGGTTGAAATGTATCCCAACTCACAGCATTTTTTTTTAAGTCTGAAAAACAATCTTTCCTCCAAAGCCACAGGAAGAGCTTAAATAAACATTTCTTCCTAAAAGCCTTCAACTTTGCTTAACCAGATACTCTCCAGCCAGTTGACTCATGGCTTGATTTCCTCTCTCCTGCAATGCTGCCCTTCAAATTCCACCTTTTCCCATTTACTCTCAACTACCCCTCCTCATCCATCCTCAACATCTCCTGTCAGGGGAGCTATCACTTTCAGAGCCTATTAAGAAAGAGTTTATGGTACAGCAGTATGTATCAGTCCCACTAAGAAGTGTTACTACAATGTATTACTTTTCAAGCCTCTTACAGCTCCAGTCTTGTGTCCCTTATATTACAGCTTGTACTGGCATTTAATTCTCTGTTGGCTATTTCCATACTTTTTAAGAAAATCACTCACACCAATTTCTTTTAATTTAGAGACTACTTATTTTAGAGTTTGTTTTGAATTCATGCTGACACGCTGTCTCCTCCCTAGGATAAACATACAGCTTCACAGCCATATTGTCCCAGGAATAAGGAGAGCTCTGCTCCATGAAAACTGAGTTGAGCACTTCTGCTTTTAACAGCACCACATGCTCTTCTGGTTGCTGCTGATGTTGCTTCAGGAGTAGCTGGCTTGGGCTGAGCAATTTTCCCATTCCTGAACATGCAGATTTCCACCCCGTTAATTTAATCACTGGTCTGTTTGCTCACTGCTCTTCTTTTGTGCAGTGGTCCAGATTAGGAACCCCACTAAACTAATGAAACAACTTAGCTCTTGAGAACATGGCTCATTTTACAGGTCTTTATACAAGCTGCTCAGCTAATACTTCCAAGACAGCCTCTTAAGCTGGATGGGCTGCAGCCAGACCTGGGCAAAGCTGCATGAGCTAAGTTCAGTAGAGTTGCTTGTTCAAGTTACATGAGCACAGCCAGTACCACACAACTTTTACCTGCACCATCATCAAGCAACAATCAGCCCACTACAATGGCAGGAGCCTTCAGCATGAAAGGCAGAAAAAGATAAGGGAGGAATGAGCAAAGTAAACTCAGTTGGAAGAAAATCAGTCACAAAAGCATTTATGCAATAGTAGCAGAGTGGTGCTCCATGATCTCCTGCTAGTTTCTACTCCAAAACACAGTCCTTAGATGATTCAGCTGTACTAGTTAGATGATTAAGAGCCCTGGAGGTCAAAAGCAATAATTTAATTACTAACAGGCAAGCCCTTGTCTAGGACAGCCTGGAGAAATTCAGCGATGGTCTTTAAACTAGTATAATTCCTTCCTTCTTGTCATTTTGGGGATGTGGAAAGCATTTCAGTATGGATACTGCTAAAGAGCTTTACAACCCAGTTTAAAACAAATCTTGGAAGATTCTATATCTACAAGGATTCTGCCTGAAGCTGGAGTTTAAAATAAGTCATCCAGCTCCAAAAACTTGTTGCTTACTGTGTCAGTGTAACAAGTTAACATCAGAAGCTGAAGGAAAATGTCAACAACTGATTACTGTCTATAGCAACATAAACTATTATCATTCCACTGGTGCAAAGACTTAATGAGAGACTAATTAGTTGCTCTTGTCTCACAGAATAAGCTTAATTCCTTCATTTACTAGAAACAAGCAGCAAAGGGAGGGCAACGAGCTTTGGGTTATTTTAATTATTGTTTGTTCCTTGCATGTGCCAGGAAAGCCCACCCAATTTGGAAAGTAAGTTACCTGCCTATCCATGACATTCTAAAAAAGTTTACTCAAACAAAATCTTAGTAGTTAAAGCATATAGTGTTGAGTTTTGTAATACACAACTCAAATTTAGCACATGACACTAACAAAACTACATGGCAACAGGTGTGGAGTGAAGCTCCCCACTATGGTCTCCCCATCCAAAGTCGCCCTATAGACCAAACTACTACTAATATATTAACAAACCTACCACTGGGTATTACTCAGCAAAAGTAATTATCTACATATCACTGCAGTTTAATTCCCTATGAAAACTCCTTCTCTAGTTTGAAGCACTGTGCTACCTTCTCTCCAGCCCTTGCCAGGTATTTATATTTGCACTACAAAACACAGCTGAGGTAGAGCACAGTAACAGGCAGTGTGCCTCTGTGTGTGCAGAGCAATCCTCACATGGAGATAGCTCTGGACCCTCTGCACACGCAGGTTAAGGAATTTCACAGTAATCCAGCAGCTGATTAGTATTTTGTATTTGGTGGCAAGACTGAAGACATAACAAGAGTCAAAGGTAGGCAGAGTGCTAGAAACTATAGGGGCAGGAAGATGCTCAAAGAAAGTCTGATTCGTGAAAACAAAACCAGGTTTGGCACTGCCACATAAGATCTGAGCTTTCTTGAAATGCTTCACACTCCAGTGCATTTGTACAGAGCTTCATATATATTGTGATTTACATGACAGGATTATGCTGCAAGAATGCAAAACTCATATAACAGCACTTTATTTTCAGCTCCACTGCCACTTCTGTCAGAGATCTGAGAAAACAGAAGGGGTGAGAAGACTGACAGCAGAAGCAGAGAGCTTTTTGCCTTGACACCTTGCCCTGTAACAGACAAGCTGGGTGGGAGAGGGGGGAGAGGAAGGAGGGGGAAATAAAGTACTCAAGTTGGGAGTATCTTACTTGAATAGCCTGTCGTCCTTGCTGAGCATCTGCCAGGAGCTGAATGGTGAGAGTCCTGGAGTCCTGTAGGGCATCTTGGAGGTAGATAAAGCTGTGACCCACATGTCGTCCCATGGTACATTCCCGACATATGGGGACAGAACAGGTATCACAGTAGAAATGCAGTACCTGGAAGAAAGGGGGGAAAAACGAATTCTCACCACATAAAGAAGAAATGAAAAGAAAACAGAGCCAGGATGTGTTAAAAAAAAAAAAATCCAAAAGCTTAACTATAAAGGAGATGGTTAGAGGCAGTAGCAACAGGCAAAGACTGCACAATAGTTTCTCCACAGAGGAAAAGCTATCCTTCCCAGTAAACTCCAAACCATGCCCCAACAGTCAGATGGAAGCGTTGTTGTTTTCTTTGCAATACAATACTAGGAAGAGTGTCCACATCAGCTCCTCTTAAGAGCGGAAGCCATCTGCCAACACTTACAGACTGGAGATGGCATCTATGGCAAGTTTCAGGTGAAGACTTTTCCTGAAAATACAAACACCAAATTCTCTTAAGAGGCCATTCAATAATCAATACACTGGAGAGCTGCAACAGCAGCACACCCACTGCTCACAAGGGGAAAACCAACCACTCATGCCAAGAACCATCCTCTCTTTTCAAAATATGCAAATCCCTTATGTTCAGGACAGCAACAATATTGGGCAAAACTCCCCCCTGCCACTTCCATCAACAAAGCAAAAATCCTTTGCTATGACAGTGTTTTCTATGCTAGTGATGCTTCAGGATGCTTGAGTTGGAAAACACGACTGGAACTTTATCACGCCCATCAGAGCGTTTGAATGCTGCAGTGACCTGTGGGTAACCACTAAATCCCCATTCTGTTCACAAAGCACTCCCAAACCCTATATTCAGATCACAACTTAGACCAAGATGTTAGCCTAGAAAGCTGGACCCATTCATCAGCTGTAGCTGCTCCCATTCCATCCAGTAGAGGGAAGTAGCACACAGAAATAGCAACTTCCATGGAAGCCTGCCTTCTTAGAGCGAAGTAGAAACCAGCTCAAGTTTTTATTTCCAAAGATGCAAATGAAGGAGCACAACACTCCAACACAAGAAAGTTCTGTATTCAAGTCTTGCTCTTAACTACACACACTATTTTTCTTAGACTGTAATAACAGAAAATCTGTATTACCATGGAACAGTACAATGACACAAGGTTTCATACTAAAAACAACTTTTCCATCACCAGATATTTGAAGCCTACCTCAGAGAAAGGAGCCAGAGCAGAACAAAGATTGGAAAAGTGTTTGATATGCCTGTCTTCTCCCAGCTGTCATCCAGCCACTCCCGACTCCAGCTAACAGCTCGTGACATGGGGTGCATTACATCCCCCCTTTCCCTTCTCCCTCAAAAGCAAGGGAAGGACAGGACAGGTGATTCCCCCCTTGGATTGCCTGGGCTGCATAAAGTGACATTTTAAGCTCCTACAAGCACAACAGCTGAAGTGGTACATGGATTAATTTCTCAAAGGGGTATGTGTGTGTTCGTGTGCACATGTCAGATTTTACTAAAGCCTGCCCTTTTTTTTCTGAAATTAGGTTTTGCTGTAGGGAAACTGGAACAGACTTATGTTTGCTTCTGTTTAAACACTAAATCCTCAAGCAGTGTCTCAGATTCCCATTTTTCCAAGTAAAAAAATGCCTTAGGTCTGAAATGCATTGTTCAAACACATCATCTTCCTTAACTAGAAGGATCCTTGTCCTTACACTGCGGTTGTCCAAATATGTATACCATGTCCCCTTGCACATGAAGTTCTGTAATTTTTCTGTTGAAATTACAGGGAATGTTTATTACATGCTCCTGAATAACTCCACTTAAACAACTGAGAAGTTGAGGGAGAATGAAAACCAAGACAAGGTATCAAGTTAAGTCATATGAATCTGATATACTTTAAAAACATACAGCAGGGATTTGGGGCCTCAGTCAAGCAGAGCAGCTGAAAAGAAAATGGTGACCATATGAACAGAAGACCAGAAGCAAGTTAAATCTATTACTAGTCCTACACAATAGCCAATACCAGGAGCAAAAGCTCAGTCCTCTCCTGCTGCAATGTAACAGCATCCACTGGTAAAAGAGTCATCCAGCTGCTCAAGCCAAAGAAAAAAAATCAAGCTTCAACTGTTTAGTTGCCTCTTGCCACCCACCAAAATGTGGTGGGAAACATCACTCCTGAATTTCGAATGAAGAGTGACAAGAGCCATATTCTCCTTTAGGAAATGGGCAGATTACACAGGACATGGCAAGGGAAGATCTTGGGTAAATAGTATAGAGCCATTGATAAGGCCTTACTTATTTCTTAGTCAAACAAACAAATAAAACAAAAAAGGTAAAAACAAAAAAGATTAAAAACAGAGAGCAAAAGAGTTAGCAAGCTGGGGCAAAAAGAAGTAGATATGCTGGTCTGATCTCCATCACTACACTTTTCCTTAAGTACGCAGAGGGGAAAATTACAAATGCACAATCCTTAGTGCTCTCTGTGGGGAGGGGGGCTAGTCAGACAGCCACCAGAAGAGCACTGAAGGAGTCAGCTTCAAGGTGAACTAGCACCTCCCCAGAAACTCCTTTCTGGGCACAAAGACTAGGAGAGAAGCCCCAGACTAGGCAGGGGTACAAGGAAGGGCAGGTCTCCTCCCGCAGCCAGTGTCACACACACTTGTCAGGGCACCCAGCAGGCTGTACCCAGCAAAGGGGGCACGCTCCCAGAGAATAAACCTGGGAAATCTCTGGCTGTGCAGGGCACAACAGTGAGGGGGGGTTGTGCCAGCTGGGCTGCTGGGGCTTGGGCACAGCATCCAACTTGCCTGTGCTTGCAGGCACAGCCAGGAGTTTATTGTTAAGCTCAAGCCTGCTCACATCCCAGTCCCTAGGTCATGGCCACAAAGGTCACGTACTGCTAGATTAAGTTTCTATGCCTGGTTCTAAATAGAGGGGGGTGGGGGGAGCCAGAGCTCCCCTTTCCCCCCATCCCCCAAACAAGCAACTCCCTGGAAAAAAAGGAAAAAAAAAAAAAAAAAAAGATAATCATACTGAGGATAGGTGTAGGACAATGCACAGCTGTGTTCTCAGTTCAGAACTGAAACCACCCAAAGCAGGTTCAGTTCCAGCAATGTGAGATGGCCTCCCCACATTTCAGGTCTCTGCTACTGCAGCACTGCAATGCTCCTCAGGGACAAACAGCTCCTGCTCCTCACAGCACAAATAACAAGACTGGTCTTGAAGGGTGGATGGGCAGAAGTAGCAGGAGGGAAGGGAAGAGTCAGACTAAGTCTTCCTCAGTGGACATCAGCTTACACTCAGGGAAAAAAAAATTACACACCACCCCAAAAATCCCAAACAAATCAAAAACCCCACCAAAACAGGATTTATAGGAAAGTCCTAAAAATTTTCCCCCCTCCCTATTTGAAGAGGCAGAGATTATACAGCCAAAAGATCCATCAAGCTGTAAATTAACTATTGTCCTGTTAATTTCACTATTTACCCAAACATAGGAAAAACTGGTTTATAAGCAAACACCTTCAAACATAGCCGGTTTTTTCCAAACCACGTGAATGCTCTGATGGGCAGCAAGGAAAGAAGTATGAAAGCAGAGATATTTCTCCTTTCAAAGAAATGTATAATCTGTGTAAATTGCATTTAATGAATTGTTTCTTTCTGAAGTAATTATTAAGTAATTAGGTAAAAATACCATTTTAAAGATAAAAACTGGTGCTCTACAACACCCTATCCAGTAGGGAAAAAAAAATTAATAAGCAAGTTTAGGAGCTTTTATTTCTTTTTTTAAACTGTTCTACTCAATTAATTAGTATTTTAGAATTTCCACGAGAATTAGGTGAAGAGAGAAATCAGAAGGAAGAGGGACTAGTTTTAGAGATAGTTAAAAGTGATTTATTTTAAAATAAATCAGCTATGGGTTGATTATTTCCCAAACAGGAAATATTTCCTGAATTGGTGGCATACAATTTTAGACACAAAACAATAAAGGGAGCCTACTTCAATTTAAACAGAATCAGTGAACCATGTTACAGGGCTATTCATCTTTTACAGCCACAGCAGCCCAAGAAATACAACAGCAAGGCCATAAATGTGATTGCTTCAGGAAAGGCTGTACAGTGCACCGTAAAAACATTTTACAACAGCAGGAATTCCTGGGTGTCGCTCTCCCCATTTTTTGGTCCATCTGCTTTCAAAGGGGGCAGGGGGATGGGCGGAGATGTTGTTAAACGTCCCCCGGGACTGCACAGCAATCAATCATCATCTGATGAATGGCCACTAAAGTTAAACCCTGACCCCACTCCACAATTCCCACACCAGCCCTTCTCTCCTTACTGCTGACCAGCTTCCAGCGTGCCCCCCCACCTTCCAGCCCTCACCAAAATTTCCCAAATACCAAGCCCAGACAAAAGCAATGGAATGTAGTAGGCACCATGACAGAGGAGAATTCAGCAGGCACAGCATCTGAGGAGGCTTATCCTTACACTGTGTTTAAATAAATGTTCTTTCAGCAATACTCTCGGTGCCCTTCTCCTCCCAGCTTGCAAACACTTCACTTCTCTCATTTTCAGAGCACATGTGCATGCAAATGGACAATAAAGCACGGGGAATCTAATCACATTAAAAATTTGTCTTCTGTCATGACATTTCAGCATCTTGCAAGGATTTTATTTAAGCCTACAGTGTTAAGGATTTGTACAAAGCAGCAATCCATAAGGCCACGTTATTTTTAAAATGCAAGTCTGGTCTAAAAAGCTACCCTGTAATGTTAACCAACAATAAAAGAAGGCTACAGACAAAACAGTAGCCTCCTGGTTTCCACTTTTGGAAAAGTTTCAGTATGGTACTTGTAAATTAACTTAGGTTGATTTTATAATTAAAAAAATCTAACTATAGTCAGTTTAAAGTTTTCCATTACTAAAGGTGTTTTATTATCAAGCTCCCTTGATAGTACCTCAAACACCCGTGGCTTTGTTAGGTAGTGTGTAAGGCTTAGCTGACCAAGTTTAATTTTCTAAGGAATGATCCTACTTCCTCAGCACTGTGGGGTTGGTTTTTTCTTTATTTTTTTCCCCTTCCCTCCCTCCCTCCCTGAAGAAAAAGCTGCTTCCCTGAATACAGC